TGTAGAGTATTTCAAAGAGTAGTAATCTGTCGTGAATATACGGATCAACCTTTTTCCAAGGAAATTTTTTGAATTCTCTTTAATATTCTGTCATAGTCGGTCTTGGAAGTTAAAACTACACAACGAAAAAAAAAAAAACACTCAGGTCAGTTTCGTTTTAACTGAAATCTGATGCCTGTGCAGCCTTTGCGGCACTTTTGAAATAGAATATTTGATAGATTCAATAATTCTCATCTAATGGCAAGCTACTTTTCTGCGAAGTTTGTGAACCGGTGGGTGATCCGGTCAATACTGATGTGCTTCATAAATTAATGGACGGTTTGCTTTTTTGATGAACTTACAGAGAAGATGAGCGTGTTATGCTCCCATGTTCGCCTTCTTGCTATGGTAATTCATCACAAGCTGTCTTTAGAGATGGTGCCCAGATCTCTGCTGGATATGCTGGTTATTGTAATCATTAGTTAATGAAAGTATTCTATACTTCTGCACATAGCAATGAGAAGTGTGGAATAAGAACAAATCGTTGCGGAAACCCGGGAATTCATGGCCCGGGTTAGGCATCTTTGAATCCAAATTGAAATTGAACTCGTCCTGAAAATGGCCTTTCGGGCCAAGTGAGTTAAATTGACAACAATCTTAACATGTATGGTTTAAGTTTCATTACTTGATACTTAAAGCATAACTTAAAACTACTAACATTTTAAATAAAAAGAATGCAAATTTCATAATTGCAACAAAGAATTTTCGTTTAGTTCCCTCGTCCTAAAAAAGCGTATGTGTTTAATTATTTACAGTTTCTTAATAGATGCTTTTTAAAGTTATTGCTATTAATTGACACAACTTTTTCTTGAACAAAACTCCATCATTCCATTGAAAAGTTTTTTTAAAAACTAGCATACTCCCAGGTAGAGTTAAGACGTTACCTCAACTAAGCTTTGTACATATTTAAATGCCAACGAATGCTCTGTACATAATTAAATACTAATAACTGAAACTAATCTATTGTCATTCCTTATGAAGACCATTTTTTGATGAAAACACATATTTACAAATTGTTTCAATTAACAAAACATATCATATAGATTAATACCTGAATCATATCGAAGTTTAGCTCTGTTCTAAGTTCCTTTTGTCTTTGTTTGTTTTTTAAAAACTCCTATTTTCGTTCTCTTTCATTTCTAAACTTTCTTTCAGTCTGTAGTCACAATGCACGAATGTATATTTTAGCCTACATCATCGACTTAGAGTAAAACTCTCCCGGGATCTCTCGAATTTGAACTGTTCATTCGTTAATCAAAAGTTCTTCTTAGTATTGTGACAAGTCATGTAGTTTGACATGAAGTGGAAGAGGAACGTGTGTAGAGTCCGCTGTCCTCTCAACATTTCTTGCCGTCGAGAAGCACAGTTCGCTCAAAGAAGACTGAGAACTGTCTGATCCGTCTTCTCTCTGCTCATACGGGAGATACCTGCGCCTGAAAAAAAAAAAAAGAAAATTACTTTTGCTGTATAACTAATTAAAGCATTTTCCTCTATTAAGCCATCGTCAAGATCAAATAATATGTAGCAAAGCAATTCTAAATTCAGAACACCCTCAGATCCCTCAGTAAACCTGTTTTCAAACACACCCATAGCTCATAAAGGAAATTTTTCACCATGCTCATAGACCCTTAATCTTGTTCTTATACTGTGCTTTAAACAATCGAAACGTTATCCCGCACACGCTTTGGAAAGAAACCTCTAGCTGTATCCTACTTGTTTGTGTGGCATGAAATCTCTCCACAGAAATAAATACGAACGTCTTTGTGAAGCAAATTTATTGAGATTTTCTCTTGCACTGGGCGAAGTTTTCATGCACTCTACAATGTCATATCTAAACTTGAGTGACCAAGCATAATAACTTTTGCTGTCATCTCCCGACGTTTTTCTTTTAAACTTTAGTTGTGGTTAGATGGAGAATTAGCATAAAGCTGTTATAGAATTAGAGATCAAGAAGTCTCCAAGTCGTTTAATATAAAGTGATTTGAGGAGAAACAGCCTTGAAAATGAGTTCCACGTGCGCAGCCCATGCCAACACATGCGCAAATCTAGCGGGCATAATAACGAACAGTAGCTCAGCTGGGCGCTCAAACATGGCGCACGTTCATGCTACAATAGTGATATTTACTCCAATAGGAATCTTGCTGCGAGGTATTTTGCGAAAGATTAACTTTAATTAGTTGTTTTAGTGGCACGCGACACGAGGATAAACAAACAGATCACAAAATACCCATTCGCTTGTAAACGTGGTGTGCTTTTCAGGGCTAAAACTGCCAACGAATTGATTATAACAATTTAGCTTTTGAAAAGTTTGTATAGATCGTTTGATTATACAAAGGTCTCAACCAACACTCCTACATTTTTCTAGATTTTAAACAGACATCGCTAAACACAATGCAACGCGTCCTCGCAAGACATGTCAAAATTCTTCATTTGACTTTCCTCACTGTGTTTGGCAGTTGTTAGCTTTCTTTTAATTTGAGAGTTTAACAATTTTACTGTTAATTAGAATGAAGCCATGTGTTAGACTGTGAGTAATATATCAAGTATACCTCATGCGGATATCTCATCTCCAAGTAAGAAACTGCACACAACCAACATACTTGATAATTATAACTATAAATGAGTTTTCGATGTGTAACACGCGGACTTTACCTAAAGCTTTGTCTTTCATAAGAAGCTAAACAAAGAAACTTTCAGCAAATGCACCGCTTCGATTAAGAGAAAATTCAAGGCAGAAGAGTCCCAGGTGTTGCAATGTTTCACGAGACTTAAATAAGAACACAGTTTTAGTTAGTTACCGATTTCAGGGAACATGTAAAGATAATGTCGGGATAACACCAACATAACATTGGTGTTGACTGCGGGGGGTCTACTGGGGCGCTAGCGGCATGAGCCATCGTATTTGGCTTAACAAACTTTAAAAAAAACAAGGTCCCTTGTTCTTAAATGTTCTGCTTTTATCCGCTGGGTAACGATTTTTGATCCTTTAGGAACACGAGTTAAAAGAATGTGCTCGCATTAATCGACAGGAAAGTACATAAGATGGATTACTTGAAAGTTATGTTTACAACACTCAGTTAAATGTAAACTTTAGGAAGATCCCCATGATATTTATCGATATACTGCAATAGCGCAACTTTTAAATTGGGTAATCCTTGCTTAAACTAATTGAAATAAGTTTAAAGTTTGATACTTGTGTCAGAAAAATTTGTGAAAAGCTGGTTCATAAAACATCAAATAGACAGATGGATATCGAATGTGTGCCGGGATGTATGATATAAAATGATATCAATAAAAAAAGTCATTGTCAGGGTAGGGGTGGGGACATGTGTGAAATGACTCCCCTTTTTCCAAAGATTAAACTCTAAAGTATCTTAATTGAGATATGTCCCAAGCGCGCATTGACTCCTGTAGGAAAACTGAGCTGATAAAATTGAATTAACAAGGATTTATTGTTTTTAGCTTGCCAACGCCCCTTAGAGTTTTTAGACATTTGAACGTATGTCTTACTTGAAACACCTTTGCACAAAAACTTCGCACAAAAAAGTTGCTACTAAATATAGTTCCACCCTTTTTGGTTCTGATGATCCTGTTGCCTAGAGCTTCCAGCCTTATCTTGCCTACAGAATAAGTGAAGTTAGGCGCAAGTTTAAATCTTCCATATTATGTTAAAGTGTTGTCGCATAGGTCATTAACAGCTTGAGCTGTTTTCTAATTGGCTCTTTCTAACGCGTGGCACGCGACACGAGGGTGAAATAATGAGATATTTTATTATGTTGAGCAAATTAAATCCTTAAAGTTTTCTTTTCACCCCGAATGGGATTTTTTGAAAATTATAATCATGTCTGAAGAGAGATATGTGTACATGACGATGAGTCTTGAAAGTTCTGTGCCTGACTGCAAATGGAATCAAAAGTCGTATAGTAAAGAGATTTCGAGTCTTATTTACTTCTCACAACTAGAAAGGGCAGAAAAAGCTGCAAAGGACTTCTGACTTTGGTTTTCTTGATCTTTTTCATGTTTTGTAACTCATTCACAAGAACATTCTGTAAAGCAAAGTACTTTGCTTAATTTTCCTTTGTTTATTAACGCAAAAGGAATATAATGGAGTGAAGTCGGCACACGACACGAGGCTACTACAAAAAAATCTTTTGTTGAAACTTTCATAGTAGAAGTAACTTTAACGGAAAATTTATGAATACGAGTTAAGTAAAAACTTAGCGGGCGTGTAAACAAATCCCGCTCCCAAGAGATTCTTCGGTTTAGTCTAACTGAAATCGCGTATTCGAGTATTTGCGACTCTCCATTAATCCGTTCTACCAAACATATGATGAACTCCGCGAAAAATTACAAATATACTCTTAATTTCACCCGAAATGAGTTAGATCAAAGCCTTCTATCATCTTTCTGAATCATTTTGCTATCGCGCCCGTTAAAAACTGTATATGATACTGCTTTAATTAAGAGTTAAAAATATGCAGTCCTACCTCAGAGCGAACTTAAAGTTGATTTAGTAATTCGATATTCCTTATACTACAAGAATTTCAGCGCATAACTTATCTAGGCGTTCTATTTGATAGTGTGCAAACTCATTCAAAGTTTATCCCTTAGATTTTAGGATTTATTCTTAAATATGATGTCAGAAAAAACCACAAATATGTTAATTACTATTCCTTTACAAAAAACAGTTTCACGCACGCTAAATTTGGACAATTGCCCACGTGGCACGGGGCGAGTATATTTCAATAGATTCAATAATGGAAGCGCCCTGGAAGGCGAAACAGTTTCAAATGTTTCGCTATATACTCCTGTGTGGCCTTCCTTTAGAATCTCAACAATAACCAGGCATTCTAAGTACACTATTAAGTGAGTAAAACAATAGTGCTGTTTGATTTACCGGCTTAAAGCAAGTGAAACAGCACTCAGGTTTGGAATCACTCAACTGGACCGCCCGAAAGACCCGAGGGCATGGCATTGAGCTAAATCAAAATCCTTCTAGGCCGTTACTAATGCTTTGACATATCTTTTTAATGCATTTGGCACAAATAACGGGGATTAATTAGCCTGCTTTGTGTCTACACAGCGAAAACACTGTTATTGAATGGAAGTATTCTGTTACAGTGAATGAACTAACCCTATATAATGTTATGCTAGTATTGATAAACAAACCGAGAAATATCTTGTGTATCATTCAAAAGTCCCGCTTCGAAATCTACCCGATTTCAACCAAGGTAAGGGCGCGTAGATTGTGCCACATTATTAACTAGGGCAGCTAAAAAAGTCTAAACCATTACAAGCTGGACCTCAACGCTCAATAGAACAAATGCGATCAAAAGTAGTTTAGTGTTCTCGAGGTTCGGCATTTACAAACATTTTTTCTGCTGTATTAAGGGAACCTCACTTAGGTGTGCCTCCAACAGTTTAAGAGTGAAAAGTTTCTTGATCGGTGATCAAAGTTTGACTAAACCAGAGACTATTTTTCAATGTCACATTTACACTCCTTTGGAACATTCAAAACCACGTGTTTCATTTTAAACTACCGAATGTCGGCCACATCGAAAAACGTAAATCACGTTATGTTGAAGTATGAGTAGTGAAATAACCTTTCTTTTTTCAGTTTGAAATTCTAAATCGTTAAGTTTTCCCGCTTGATGTTCTTCGTTACGCGACAAAAGAATACTTTTGTGAATAGCAATCCTTATCATTCTTTTCTTTCAAACATTTCATTGTAGTTTATCGTTATTGCTTGTCACATTGTCAGCTCAAATGAATTTTAACAAAGCCTTGGAGATGTATATGTAAATTTACTACGGTTCAGTTTCAAGTTACAAACTGCTGAAGTCAGATGTGAACAAAAAGTCGCATGATATCAGTGTCAAACGGAAGAAATCAAGAGTAACATTTCTATAAATACTAAGAACTAAATTACTAAAAGATTCATAGAAACTGAGCCATGTCCAGTGATGTTCAATCGGCATTTAACCACAACTGAAATCTTGGATAAGGCAAGGTACGGTAATCCCTTGAACTGAACTTAATATTCCTTGTGTCAAAGTCTTTTGAAAAACTTTTGATAAATATTCCCTCCTGCGTATTCAAAATAACGACGATGATTGAGAATTACGAAGCATATGACGAAATATTTTGTCAAAGACATATATTTACATCAGTTACTAACGAATCACTGAAATACATTTATTAACTGTAAGGCATTTATAATTTCATCCTTTGGAATTACAAGTGCAGTAAATTGTTCAAATACGAAGCATTGTTTCATTTTGGTAAGAATTTTGGCTGGAAATGTAGTGACAGAATCGAATTGATGATGTATTACACCGCATGACCGCGCTATTGATGTTTTTCATGCGATACACATGTACTCATTCTAAACGAAATGTTGTTTGGAATTTTATTAGCCTTAAAATGGTATTTTAAACTGAAATCAAACAAGCTTTAAGTCAGTTGAATGAATTTCACTTAAGCAGATTGTCGGCATTTAGTTCTTGACAAGAGAAAAGCAAAGGCATGCGGTTAATTAACGACAGTACTGTACGTAAAATGGAAGATATATAAGGTACCATCGCCAACTTACAGTGCATCAACAGAATTCGAAAGTGATAAACTGTGTACAACTTTAAGTGAGTTTGACTTTTAGTAAAATATATTATATTCAGTTCTCTGCATGCATTGTTTCAAAATCGACGGTAGTCAGATTATTTCACAATTTCCTTATCGATCTTTCCGATTTTTTGAGATTAAATGATTCTTTAAACTAACTATCTCGTTTATGTGATTTTCGATAAAATAAAACAAACATATCTTGTACGCTGTCGAATTTATGATCGTTCAGCGATGTTTGGGTTTTATGTTGCAAATGTCAATCATTTACAGCTGCTTACATTGTCAAAACTTTATCAGAAATATCATGAAATATTTAATATACCTTGATCCTTTGTCCCGAAATCCTTTGGCAAAGGGGTTGTGGTCGATTTTCATTTGAATCAGCTAGAAACAAACAACAACAAAACGTTCAAACTAAACAAAAATCATTTCATTTAAAGAAGCAGTTATGAGACAGTTTGAAGCTACATTTTAAAGGAATGAAATAAGTCAAGTATTTGATATCATGACAGACTTTTAACAAAGATTTTATTCTCTTCCTTTCAGTCGAGAATTTGTTGCGGAAAAATGTTAAACCAAGACTTCACCAAGTGAATATTTTTTCCCTTTTCTTGCTAGTTATCCGCCAGGTGAAGTTGTGCTTTGTCAGTGCTTCTACCGACTATACATCCATATACATTCATACAAATACAAACACACACACATCTACATGCTTTATTCGATAAAACAGGTTGGAATTAAAGACAGCATTCACTGATGTGACCCTGCTAACTATTTACATGTATATTACAAATATATTTAAAATATCGTTTATAAAATATCGTACAGTACTCGGCTGTCTTCACTAGCGCGGGTATAGAATATCTATGCACTTCTTATCCTTACCTCTTCATTTTGATACGTCGTTACAGCAATGAACGTGGTTTCAGGGAACACATAAGTTGAGCACGAAACTTTTACGCCTTCTTCTGTTTCTTCGACGACATGAATCCTTGGCTGGTACTTTCTATTCGGACTTAGATGAAGCTGCAAAATTTTGTTAACGACACACAGCTTAGAAGAGCGGAAAAGGCTAAAAAAATTATTTTACCATACACGTATTTCTCAGTGATAGACAATCAAAAGATGATTGTGCTTTAGACTTTCATAAAATAAAATTTCCAGCAACAATAATAGACGGAAATTCATCTCTTAAACATTAATCTGCCTTGGGTATGACAGCCACTCAAAAACCACAGACTTTGTTGCCACGAGGGAGTTCTTCCGTTCAGTCTTCGAACTCATAATTACTGTCTTTCGAAAATGCAGCAGTCCTTCCTTAAAATATTACAAAAAATATCAATTTCACAGCTAACCAGAGATGTAAGAATCTTGACTTCATAGTGGGAAAATCTCTTAATACCAGTGTTGAAACTATGGAAAATTGCGCTTAAAAAATTACCCGGGAAGTTTGGTTTATATTAGTCTCTTACGTTTTATTCACGGCGCCAAAATTTGCATCGAAATGTTTTTGACCGGCGCGTTTGTGTAATTTGAGGTTTCTCCGTATTACATTCGCATGTCTTAATTTATTTGACACATCTTGAACTGTTTGGATCATAATTTGCTTCCTCTTTCGCCGGTTTGACCAGCGATGGTTTTGTGACTTTTAGTTGAAAGGTTTTAACTTTGTAATGTAAAAGCATAAAGCAAGTAACACGAGGTAACGCATGAATGCAAAAGACAATGGAAGACACTCATGAATAAGTTATGAGTTCGGTCAGTTTGAAAATTACAAAAATCGTCATCTCGCTATCGCCAAAAAGTCCCTAAATACCCCATGACAACTCTTGTGGCTTGAGGCACGCGGCGAACGTAACCCGCAGTAACTTAGAAACATTTTATCTCCTCGTTCTGTTGGTTTTAAGAGATAAAAACCATCTGGAATTATAAGCTTAATCACTGCGTTTCCATTGCCAGACATCGCGGCTCTAAACAACACATGCGTACTAAAAGCACTTCCCATCATTCTTTGCTTTATTTCATTGGCTTTTTCTTGGCATACATTCTGTTTATCGACAGTTTTGGGATACAAGAAAGCCGCTTCTCACTAATAAACTTATTTTCGTGAGGAAAATGTCAACAAAAAACAGATTTCTTTCGAGTTAAATTAAATCTTGAACTTTGATTAGATACTCTTAGATGTAATCATGAAAAAGAATTACCTCGCCATCTTTAAACGGGCCAACTCGACGATTCGTCAAGCGAACTTTCTTGAAGTCCACGCCATTTTTCATCCAGTACAGGCCAGTGTGCGCCACTTCGTCCGCCTGGTATGACTGTATGTAAGGTAAAGCGTGCATCTCACTCGCCATTCCGTTTACTTGCCACATATTGTTCACAAAAGTGTACGCATAGCCGTCCACGGGGACAATATCAACGTGGACGGAGTAATAACGTCTCGGATCCATTCCAAGAAAAGAAAGAGCGAGTGTTGGAAACATCCGTCTGCAATGAAATCAAACGTTTTAGCGTGAGATAAGTTGAAATAAATGATAAAATGTCAGCTCGGTGGGGTTTTCTGCTTAATAAACAATCTACGCGAATTCAACGCGATAGGCGAAAAGCAGGTGACAAGCGATTCAAACATGCGCTTTCATGATGAAAGCCTTGTGTTGAGCCAGTTTGATTGCGGACAACTAGCAAGCAATAGAAGAGTTCAGCTTCTGTGATCTAAAGATGCTGACAAAACCCCTCATAAGGGCTTAACGTGTACGATCAGTAGCTATGTGAGGCACGCGCAAGACCTGTGTCGACTAAGTTAAGCCAAGTACAATAAAGGCAAAGCACAAAGGTTTAAATGCAGAGTAAGCTAAAGCACATGCTAAGGGAGCCCTGTCATCTGTTTAAATCATCTCTCCTCTCATTAGCAGAAGCAAAACATCGTTCATTATTTTATGAGTCACAAACAATGAGACACACCCATAAAAAGAGGGCACGTGGGAAATACAATCTGCGCTAAACCCTTAAGTGGTTGTTTACTTTGCGCTATCCATATGCCTTTCTCCTTTGTGGTTTTGTTGCTATCTGGACCTTCCTCCACCTACGCTTTGCTGATTTTTAGATAGACGAACTGAATAAACAACCCGTGTCTTGAAAAACAGCTTATCAAAACCAAGATATTGTGATGACGAACAAGTTTATTGGTGCACGTTTGTATACAGAAATTCAGATGCAGTAAGAAGAAACAAGTGAAAACAAGGACTCTCTGATAATGAAACTCTCAACAAAACAAAGAACTTTCACCTCATCTCAACATGTCCCATCAAGAGTGCTTCGCGATACACATGTGTACAGTTTGTTTGCATTCCTTGCTAAATCACACCGCTCAACGCACAGTGATCTTATATTCAGCTCGAGCTGTTTGATATAAAACCTTTTCGTTATCTTGTTATTTTGATACCCCAGGGCATAGTGTTTGTATCGCTATCGGCTCTTGCTATGATTTTGAACTTTTTGTTTGAGCGTGATTGATCAAAGAGGACATGCAATTGAATTACTTTTCGCCGATATTCTGCACTTGGAGAGATAAGCGATCAAAAAGGTCTTTGTGTCCACATGTGAATAATTCTTATCTTTATTATATCTGGTATTTTTTTGCATATTAAAAGTAACTAACCCGCATTTTAATAACACTACACCTGGGAATCATAATAGTAACATATGAAAGGTTCAAGTCACTTCAGAACTCGGTCCATCCTCAATTTTCCCAATCTCAAAACACCTCACGCGATAGAAACCTTATCTGAGGTAATCTTTTGCGATAGAAATTCCATTTTTTCTGCCAGACTAAAACGATCTCAGACACTAAGCTTTCAGTAAACTATTATTTTTGGGAAATAGAATCGTTCAAATGCAATGCATGAAAGTTCAAAGAGAGAGGACGGGGAAAATCGTATTTATTAATCTATTCACACCCAGTTGCAAATTTCTTTAGAAGTTACTGCCTAGCTTGAGACAAAAGTTGGTACTACAAAAGTTAACGTTTCCCTTCAGAAAGTGTTTCATAAGATTTTAATTGCACATAATACTGTCAGTGTTTGATGACCCCACTTTCGACTCCTTGGATAAAACAATTGATTTGTGGCGGAAGAAAGGATCCAGTATCAAAGGCACACGCAGAGAAAGAAAATCAACAGTTTGAAAGAAACCCAAAAGAGATTTGTTTTGTCATTTGCACCTGGGGAAATTATAGAACATAGAAAATAAAACTCTTGTGGCACGCGACCGCATTCTTAACATTCGAAAGCGCGCGTGGACACGGGAAAATTTCTTTGAAAATGACGTCACGTATTGGTAGAAAGCTATAAACGAAATGACATAAAACAAGTTAGCAGTTAAACGGATAGATTATTTTTCATATTTCATGGAAGGAATTAGCCGGGTCGGATGTTTTGTGCAATTACCGAACAAGAATTAAGAAACCCCAGCTACCCGCAGCGAAAATAACCATTGACTGAATTAAATGCAAAAGACAATTATTCCGCCGTGAGTAAGCTCTTAGTTTGCATGTCAAGGACAAGACCAATTTGAAGCGCAATGAATTTGAATAGCTGAAAGTTTCTTTTTACCAAATCGTTTCTTGAGAGTAACACTCCGTTTTACTCGAATTTAACTTCTCAATTCAAAGGTAGTTAGTTGTTTCGGGAGAGCGGTTAAAGAATTTACACCCAAACCACTGAAGTTTCATTCGCTTGAAAATTAAGTCCCTTAAAGTTTTTGCTGTTCGACAAAAATTCAACGAGAAGGATTTCAGCGCTTTTGTTATTGAGCAAAAATTGCTATCCGCCTTCTGCAAGGCGTAAAATTTAGTAAAATGTGGCGGAATTCTTTACGAATTTAATAACATTTCATTTCGAATAATTTGTGTAATTTTCACTGGTGTCTCAAGAAACATAATAACGAATTTTAGTAGATTCGTTTTTCACGATAAGTGGTTCATAAACATTTGAAGAGACTTTTCAAAAAGTCATTTTTCTAAATGTTTGCCTTTTATTCCAGTAAAATCGCTTCAGTTACGGAATGAGGTTTGACTCGATTTGTCATACATGGTATTAGACAAGATTTTCTCTCACCTTCCCGTCCTTGTAATCACCATTTCTGTACCGCAAGCGTAGAATTTCCACCACAGATCGCTTTGTTGCATGGCGACTTGAACCTCACGCTGTACCTCCATAACTCTCATTTGCGGCTGACTGTATGAAGCAGTGTTCTTTAGAGAGTCTAAATTTCTAACCAAGTCGCAACAAGCTGCGAACTGCTGTAATGGATCTAGGATTGAAGTACTTCTTGTTAATCCACGCCTTTTGCCATCTCCGCATTTTTCACCTCGCGTTTGTTCTCCGTTCAAAATGTTTTGGATGGAGTGGTCTTCGTAAACGTCTCTTGATACCGCGCAGATCTTTGCCTTCTGTGCTAATCGATCATTTTGGCAGCCATTCCACCAATTTCCTTTCTCTTTGTGATCCACTGAGGGCGGATTTACTTCACTTGTCTCCCGAGTGTTGGAATTTTCATTAAAATCCTTGGTTAGCAAGCTAGCGATTGAGAAAGCTGCAGCCCTCGGCGAGAGGTTGTCACTGTCATCAGCCGGTGCGCTCATGGTTTTGACTTCGCTTCTCCTTGCCTCTTTTCTGAGATACTAACTTCACAAGTCAGTAAGTGACCCAGTGGGTTTTTTAACATGTATCACCTTTTACCGCGTTTATGTTAACAGTGGCTCAGGTTGAAAACTAGCTTGCTTCTGTAAGACGTGTAAATTGATTGGCTCGTCACATAAACAATCGCCTTAATTGACCCCCGAGACATCAAGTTTATACAAAACTGCTTTGAAGTGAGAAAGGTGTCACACTAACAATTCACTGCTGGGCGTTAATTGCTCAGAAATTCTGTATTCAACGACTTGTGATTGGGCGGGCCGGCTTAGCGCACGACAATCTGCATCAAATATTTTGCCTGTGGTAGAGGCAGGTGTAAAACGTTTGGTTTTTGGGTTTTTGGGCTTTATCGCTTAGTATTAATACCATCCAATTAAAACTTTTTAAACTGGCTTATGACGCAGCTGATAATCGTCGGATAAAGCGACTGCAACAAAGAATCCCTGTGGTTGGAACAATTTAAAAGTTAGGGAAGTTGTTAAATTACTCGCGCAAATGACTCTGATGGTCTTAAATCACCAGCACCAAAAAAACAAAAAAAAAGAAAAAAAGAAATGAAAAATCGCGCGCTTACTCAGCGCACTTTTGTGCGCAAATATGACATCAACAATAGCAAGAAGATTTAATTGTCTCTTATCATATTTAGTCAGTCAAGAGGAGTTTTTCTCAAGAAAAAGAGATACCGACTTCATTGAGAGTGGCAGAAAGAAATTTAATCCGACTTTCTGGTGAATTATGCCAATAATCACTCTGGCTGTTTGATGGGGACAAATTTTTCTCTCGGTGCTTTGTGTGCTATGAAACAATGCTTAGTCACACTCAATCACTTTTTTGTAAACTGATCTAATTTATCAGCGAAGTTTAATGTAACTTTTACTTTTAACTTTGACACCATTCGAGAAAAACTTACACGCAACGTTCTCTTCTTAAAGGTGCTTCAATTTTGTTTATGCCGCTTATTATAACGTGACACTTAAAAGTCCTAGGAAAGTTTTAACCCTAGCTCTTATCAATTCTTAAACTACAACTTTCTTCAATCAAGCAAAGGCGAAAACTATGACCGCGGCAACACAGTGCCGAAAAACACAAAAGGTGTGAAATGTTGAGATTGCCCTTTGGGAATCACAACATCCTAACAAGCACGCTTACACAAAACTTGTGAAAACAGTGATTATATTCCACGCAAAGAAAGCTAGCTTTTACTGTTGTTGAACCATCTCTTAAGACTTCGAAAATAGTTAGCGCGCAACTGCAGACTGAAAAAATATTAGACCGACTGGAATTGAACTCCAAGAAATGAAACGTGAGCACTGGGGACAGGATGAGATTTACTTCCGAGAGTTTCCGAGATCAAACGTTCTATACTACTGAAAACGGAAAATCAAACTTTTGAGTAAGGGCATTTATCATTCATTTGTTGTGGTTTAGACAAAGAAAATCAAACAACAGTAGAGCGGTGCGCGCACAGATCGCACGGAAAAGATCTGAATGCACTGAATTCAGAAGACAGCTAATTAGTTTTCACAAGTTCGCGCGTACAGATTTTTTTTCTGACAGGACAGGTTGTCGCTCAGTACCTTACAGTAAAAATCCACCCACTAACCTCTATAACCGGCAAGAGCATTTTATTTGTCCTTGGTCTAACCTGGTCATGCCGAACTTGACCCAAGTGTTCGAACTTCGAGCAAACAAGATGGCCTTCATTTCTGAGACGCAAATTTTAAAAAGACGACCGGGACAAGTCAGATGCGAAGTCTCTATTTAAAACAATCAGATCTTGAAACTCGACTAAAAATTTGTCGGGTCTTATCATTCCTTTGAGCCTTGTTACGATCTAAACCCCAGTAATTGACATAAAACAGCAGCTCATACGTAGAAACGACAATCATCATGCGGGAAAACGCAAATAAATAAATAAATAAATAAATAAATAAATAAATAAATAAATAACATTCAAAACCACGTGTTTCATTTTAAACTACCGAATGTCGGCCACATCGAAAAACGTAAATCACGTTATGTTGAAGTATGAGTAGTGAAATAACCTTTCTTTTTTCAGTTTGAAATTCTAAATCGTTAAGTTTTCCCGCTTGATGTTCTTCGTTACGCGACAAAAGAATACTTTTGTGAATAGCAATCCTTATCATTCTTTTCTTTCAAACATTTCATTGTAGTTTATCGTTATTGCTTGTCACATTGTCAGCTCAAATGAATTTTAACAAAGCCTTGGAGATGTATATGTAAATTTACTACGGTTCAGTTTCAAGTTACAAACTGCTGAAGTCAGATGTGAACAAAAAGTCGCATGATATCAGTGTCAAACGGAAGAAATCAAGAGTAACATTTCTATAAATACTAAGAACTAAATTACTAAAAGATTCATAGAAACTGAGCCATGTCCAGTGATGTTCAATCGGCATTTAACCACAACTGAAATCTTGGATAAGGCAAGGTACGGTAATCCCTTGAACTGAACTTAATATTCCTTGTGTCAAAGTCTTTTGAAAAACTTTTGATAAATATTCCCTCCTGCGTATTCAAAATAACGACGATGATTGAGAATTACGAAGCATATGACGAAATATTTTGTCAAAGACATATATTTACATCAGTTACTAACGAATCACTGAAATACATTTATTAACTGTAAGGCATTTATAATTTCATCCTTTGGAATTACAAGTGCAGTAAATTGTTCAAATACGAAGCATTGTTTCATTTTGGTAAGAATTTTGGCTGGAAATGTAGTGACAGAATCGAATTGATGATGTATTACACCGCATGACCGCGCTATTGATGTTTTTCATGCGATACACATGTACTCATTCTAAACGAAATGTTGTTTGGAATTTTATTAGCCTTAAAATGGTATTTTAAACTGAAATCAAACAAGCTTTAAGTCAGTTGAATGAATTTCACTTAAGCAGATTGTCGGCATTTAGTTCTTGACAAGAGAAAAGCAAAGGCATGCGGTTAATTAACGACAGTACTGTACGTAAAATGGAAGATATATAAGGTACCATCGCCAACTTACAGTGCATCAACAGAATTCGAAAGTGATAAACTGTGTACAACTTTAAGTGAGTTTGACTTTTAGTAAAATATATTATATTCAGTTCTCTGCATGCATTGTTTCAAAATCGACGGTAGTCAGATTATTTCACAATTTCCTTATCGATCTTTCCGATTTTTTGAGATTAAATGATTCTTTAAACTAACTATCTCGTTTATGTGATTTTCGATAAAATAAAACAAACATATCTTGTACGCTGTCGAATTTATGATCGTTCAGCGATGTTTGGGTTTTATGTTGCAAATGTCAATCATTTACAGCTGCTTACATTGTCAAAACTTTATCAGAAATATCATGAAATATTTAATATACCTTGATCCTTTGTCCCGAAATCCTTTGGCAAAGGGGTTGTGGTCGATTTTCATTTGAATCAGCTAGAAACAAACAACAACAAAACGTTCAAACTAAACAAAAATCATTTCATTTAAAGAAGCAGTTATGAGACAGTTTGAAGCTACATTTTAAAGGAATGAAATAAGTCAAGTATTTGATATCATGACAGACTTTTAACAAAGATTTTATTCTCTTCCTTTCAGTCGAGAATTTGTTGCGGAAAAATGTTAAACCAAGACTTCACCAAGTGAATATTTTTTCCCTTTTCTTGCTAGTTATCCGCCAGGTGAAGTTGTGCTTTGTCAGTGCTTCTACCGACTATACATCCATATACATTCATACAAATACAAACACACACACATCTACATGCTTTATTCGATAAAACAGGTTGGAATTAAAGACAGCATTCACTGATGTGACCCTGCTAACTATTTACATGTATATTACAAATATATTTAAAATATCGTTTATAAAATATCGTACAGTACTCGGCTGTCTTCACTAGCGCGGGTATAGAATATCTATGCACTTCTTATCCTTACCTCTTCATTTTGATACGTCGTTACAGCAATGAACGTGGTTTCAGGGAACACATAAGTTGAGCACGAAACTTTTACGCCTTCTTCTGTTTCTTCGACGACATGAATCCTTGGCTGGTACTTTCTATTCGGACTTAGATGAAGCTGCAAAATTTTGTTAACGACACACAGCTTAGAAGAGCGGAAAAGGCTAAAAAAATTATTTTACCATACACGTATTTCTCAGTGATAGACAATCAAAAGATGATTGTGCTTTAGACTTTCATAAAATAAAATTTCCAGCAACAATAATAGACGGAAATTCATCTCTTAAACATTAATCTGCCTTGGGTATGACAGCCACTCAAAAACCACAGACTTTGTTGCCACGAGGGAGTTCTTCCGTTCAGTCTTCGAACTCATAATTACTGTCTTTCGAAAATGCAGCAGTCCTTCCTTAAAATATTACAAAAAATATCAATTTCACAGCTAACCAGAGATGTAAGAATCTTGACTTCATAGTGGGAAAATCTCTTAATACCAGTGTTGAAACTATGGAAAATTGCGCTTAAAAAATTACCCGGGAAGTTTGGTTTATATTAGTCTCTTACGTTTTATTCACGGCGCCAAAATTTGCATCGAAATGTTTTTGACCGGCGCGTTTGTGTAATTTGAGGTTTCTCCGTATTACATTCGCATGTCTTAATTTATTTGACACATCTTGAACTGTTTGGATCATAATTTGCTTCCTCTTTCGCCGGTTTGACCAGCGATGGTTTTGTGACTTTTAGTTGAAAGGTTTTAACTTTGTAATGTAAAAGCATAAAGCAAGTAACACGAGGTAACGCATGAATGCAAAAGACAATGGAAGACACTCATGAATAAGTTATGAGTTCGGTCAGTTTGAAAATTACAAAAATCGTCATCTCGCTATCGCCAAAAAGTCCCTAAATACCCCATGACAACTCTTGTGGCTTGAGGCACGCGGCGAACGTAACCCGCAGTAACTTAGAAACATTTTATCTCCTCGTTCTGTTGGTTTTAAGAGATAAAAACCATCTGGAATTATAAGCTTAATCACTGCGTTTCCATTGCCAGACATCGCGGCTCTAAACAACACATGCGTACTAAAAGCACTTCCCATCATTCTTTGCTTTATTTCATTGGCTTTTTCTTGGCATACATTCTGTTTATCGACAGTTTTGGGATACAAGAAAGCCGCTTCTCACTAATAAACTTATTTTCGTGAGGAAAATGTCAACAAAAAACAGATTTCTTTCGAGTTAAATTAAATCTTGAACTTTGATTAGATACTCTTAGATGTAATCATGAAAAAGAATTACCTCGCCATCTTTAAACGGGCCAACTCGACGATTCGTCAAGCGAACTTTCTTGAAGTCCACGCCATTTTTCATCCAGTACAGGCCAGTGTGCGCCACTTCGTCCGCCTGGTATGACTGTATGTAAGGTAAAGCGTGCATCTCACTCGCCATTCCGTTTACTTGCCACATATTGTTCACAAAAGTGTACGCATAGCCGTCCACGGGGACAATATCAACGTGGACGGAGTAATAACGTCTCGGATCCATTCCAAGAAAAGAAAGAGCGAGTGTTGGAAACATCCGTCTGCAATGAAATCAAACGTTTTAGCGTGAGATAAGTTGAAATAAATGATAAAATGTCAGCTCGGTGGGGTTTTCTGCTTAATAAACAATCTACGCGAATTCAACGCGATAGGCGAAAAGCAGGTGACAAGCGATTCAAACATGCGCTTTCATGATGAAAGCCTTGTGTTGAGCCAGTTTGATTGCGGACAACTAGCAAGCAATAGAAGAGTTCAGCTTCTGTGATCTAAAGATGCTGACAAAACCCCTCATAAGGGCTTAACGTGTACGATCAGTAGCTATGTGAGGCACGCGCAAGACCTGTGTCGACTAAGTTAAGCCAAGTACAATAAAGGCAAAGCACAAAGGTTTAAATGCAGAGTAAGCTAAAGCACATGCTAAGGGAGCCCTGTCATCTGTTTAAATCATCTCTCCTCTCATTAGCAGAAGCAAAACATCGTTCATTATTTTATGAGTCACAAACAATGAGACACACCCATAAAAAGAGGGCACGTGGGAAATACAATCTGCGCTAAACCCTTAAGTGGTTGTTTACTTTGCGCTATCCATATGCCTTTCTCCTTTGTGGTTTTGTTGCTATCTGGACCTTCCTCCACCTACGCTTTGCTGATTTTTAGATAGACGAACTGAATAAACAACCCGTGTCTTGAAAAACAGCTTATCAAAACCAAGATATTGTGATGACGAACAAGTTTATTGGTGCACGTTTGTATACAGAAATTCAGATGCAGTAAGAAGAAACAAGTGAAAACAAGGACTCTCTGATAATGAAACTCTCAACAAAACAAAGAACTTTCACCTCATCTCAACATGTCCCATCAAGAGTGCTTCGCGATACACATGTGTACAGTTTGTTTGCATTCCTTGCTAAATCACACCGCTCAACGCACAGTGATCTTATATTCAGCTCGAGCTGTTTGATATAAAACCTTTTCGTTATCTTGTTATTTTGATACCCCAGGGCATAGTGTTTGTATCGCTATCGGCTCTTGCTATGATTTTGAACTTTTTGTTTGAGCGTGATTGATCAAAGAGGACATGCAATTGAATTACTTTTCGCCGATATTCTGCACTTGGAGAGATAAGCGATCAAAAAGGTCTTTGTGTCCACATGTGAATAATTCTTATCTTTATTATATCTGGTATTTTTTTGCATATTAAAAGTAACTAACCCGCATTTTAATAACACTACACCTGGGAATCATAATAGTAACATATGAAAGGTTCAAGTCACTTCAGAACTCGGTCCATCCTCAATTTTCCCAATCTCAAAACACCTCACGCGATAGAAACCTTATCTGAGGTAATCTTTTGCGATAGAAATTCCATTTTTTCTGCCAGACTAAAACGATCTCAGACACTAAGCTTTCAGTAAACTATTATTTTTGGGAAATAGAATCGTTCAAATGCAATGCATGAAAGTTCAAAGAGAGAGGACGGGGAAAATCGTATTTATTAATCTATTCACACCCAGTTGCAAATTTCTTTAGAAGTTACTGCCTAGCTTGAGACAAAAGTTGGTACTACAAAAGTTAACGTTTCCCTTCAGAAAGTGTTTCATAAGATTTTAATTGCACATAATACTGTCAGTGTTTGATGACCCCACTTTCGACTCCTTGGATAAAACAATTGATTTGTGGCGGAAGAAAGGATCCAGTATCAAAGGCACACGCAGAGAAAGAAAATCAACAGTTTGAAAGAAACCCAAAAGAGATTTGTTTTGTCATTTGCACCTGGGGAAATTATAGAACATAGAAAATAAAACTCTTGTGGCACGCGACCGCATTCTTAACATTCGAAAGCGCGCGTGGACACGGGAAAATTTCTTTGAAAATGACGTCACGTATTGGTAGAAAGCTATAAACGAAATGACATAAAACAAGTTAGCAGTTAAACGGATAGATTATTTTTCATATTTCATGGAAGGAATTAGCCGGGTCGGATGTTTTGTGCAATTACCGAACAAGAATTAAGAAACCCCAGCTACCCGCAGCGAAAATAACCATTGACTGAATTAAATGCAAAAGACAATTATTCCGCCGTGAGTAAGCTCTTAGTTTGCATGTCAAGGACAAGACCAATTTGAAGCGCAATGAATTTGAATAGCTGAAAGTTTCTTTTTACCAAATCGTTTCTTGAGAGTAACACTCCGTTTTACTCGAATTTAACTTCTCAATTCAAAGGTAGTTAGTTGTTTCGGGAGAGCGGTTAAAGAATTTACACCCAAACCACTGAAGTTTCATTCGCTTGAAAATTAAGTCCCTTAAAGTTTTTGCTGTTCGACAAAAATTCAACGAGAAGGATTTCAGCGCTTTTGTTATTGAGCAAAAATTGCTATCCGCCTTCTGCAAGGCGTAAAATTTAGTAAAATGTGGCGGAATTCTTTACGAATTTAATAACATTTCATTTCGAATAATTTGTGTAATTTTCACTGGTGTCTCAAGAAACATAATAACGAATTTTAGTAGATTCGTTTTTCACGATAAGTGGTTCATAAACATTTGAAGAGACTTTTCAAAAAGTCATTTTTCTAAATGTTTGCCTTTTATTCCAGTAAAATCGCTTCAGTTACGGAATGAGGTTTGACTCGATTTGTCATACATGGTATTAGACAAGATTTTCTCTCACCTTCCCGTCCTTGTAATCACCATTTCTGTACCGCAAGCGTAGAATTTCCACCACAGATCGCTTTGTTGCATGGCGACTTGAACCTCACGCTGTACCTCCATAACTCTCATTTGCGGCTGACTGTATGAAGCAGTGTTCTTTAGAGAGTCTAAATTTCTAACCAAGTCGCAACAAGCTGCGAACTGCTGTAATGGATCTAGGATTGAAGTACTTCTTGTTAATCCACGCCTTTTGCCATCTCCGCATTTTTCACCTCGCGTTTGTTCTCCGTTCAAAATGTTTTGGATGGAGTGGTCTTCGTAAACGTCTCTTGATACCGCGCAGATCTTTGCCTTCTGTGCTAATCGATCATTTTGGCAGCCATTCCACCAATTTCCTTTCTCTTTGTGATCCACTGAGGGCGGATTTACTTCACTTGTCTCCCGAGTGTTGGAATTTTCATTAAAATCCTTGGTTAGCAAGCTAGCGATTGAGAAAGCTGCAGCCCTCGGCGAGAGGTTGTCACTGTCATCAGCCGGTGCGCTCATGGTTTTGACTTCGCTTCTCCTTGCCTCTTTTCTGAGATACTAACTTCACAAGTCAGTAAGTGACCCAGTGGGTTTTTTAACATGTATCACCTTTTACCGCGTTTATGTTAACAGTGGCTCAGGTTGAAAACTAGCTTGCTTCTGTAAGACGTGTAAATTGATTGGCTCGTCACATAAACAATCGCCTTAATTGACCCCCGAGACATCAAGTTTATACAAAACTGCTTTGAAGTGAGAAAGGTGTCACACTAACAATTCACTGCTGGGCGTTAATTGCTCAGAAATTCTGTATTCAACGACTTGTGATTGGGCGGGCCGGCTTAGCGCACGACAATCTGCATCAAATATTTTGCCTGTGGTAGAGGCAGGTGTAAAACGTTTGGTTTTTGGGTTTTTGGGCTTTATCGCTTAGTATTAATACCATCCAATTAAAACTTTTTAAACTGGCTTATGACGCAGCTGATAATCGTCGGATAAAGCGACTGCAACAAAGAATCCCTGTGGTTGGAACAATTTAAAAGTTAGGGAAGTTGTTAAATTACTCGCGCAAATGACTCTGATGGTCTTAAATCACCAGCACCAAAAAAACAAAAAAAAAGAAAAAAAGAAATGAAAAATCGCGCGCTTACTCAGCGCACTTTTGTGCGCAAATATGACATCAACAATAGCAAGAAGATTTAATTGTCTCTTATCATATTTAGTCAGTCAAGAGGAGTTTTTCTCAAGAAAAAGAGATACCGACTTCATTGAGAGTGGCAGAAAGAAATTTAATCCGACTTTCTGGTGAATTATGCCAATAATCACTCTGGCTGTTTGATGGGGACAAATTTTTCTCTCGGTGCTTTGTGTGCTATGAAACAATGCTTAGTCACACTCAATCACTTTTTTGTAAACTGATCTAATTTATCAGCGAAGTTTAATGTAACTTTTACTTTTAACTTTGACACCATTCGAGAAAAACTTACACGCAACGTTCTCTTCTTAAAGGTGCTTCAATTTTGTTTATGCCGCTTATTATAACGTGACACTTAAAAGTCCTAGGAAAGTTTTAACCCTAGCTCTTATCAATTCTTAAACTACAACTTTCTTCAATCAAGCAAAGGCGAAAACTATGACCGCGGCAACACAGTGCCGAAAAACACAAAAGGTGTGAAATGTTGAGATTGCCCTTTGGGAATCACAACATCCTAACAAGCACGCTTACACAAAACTTGTGAAAACAGTGATTATATTCCACGCAAAGAAAGCTAGCTTTTACTGTTGTTGAACCATCTCTTAAGACTTCGAAAATAGTTAGCGCGCAACTGCAGACTGAAAAAATATTAGACCGACTGGAATTGAACTCCAAGAAATGAAACGTGAGCACTGGGGACAGGATGAGATTTACTTCCGAGAGTTTCCGAGATCAAACGTTCTATACTACTGAAAACGGAAAATCAAACTTTTGAGTAAGGGCATTTATCATTCATTTGTTGTGGTTTAGACAAAGAAAATCAAACAACAGTAGAGCGGTGCGCGCACAGATCGCACGGAAAAGATCTGAATGCACTGAATTCAGAAGACAGCTAATTAGTTTTCACAAGTTCGCGCGTACAGATTTTTTTTCTGACAGGACAGGTTGTCGCTCAGTACCTTACAGTAAAAATCCACCCACTAACCTCTATAACCGGCAAGAGCATTTTATTTGTCCTTGGTCTAACCTGGTCATGCCGAACTTGACCCAAGTGTTCGAACTTCGAGCAAACAAGATGGCCTTCATTTCTGAGACGCAAATTTTAAAAAGACGACCGGGACAAGTCAGATGCGAAGTCTCTATTTAAAACAATCAGATCTTGAAACTCGACTAAAAATTTGTCGGGTCTTATCATTCCTTTGAGCCTTGTTACGATCTAAACCCCAGTAATTGACATAAAACAGCAGCTCATACGTAGAAACGACAATCATCATGCGGGAAAACGCAAATAAATAAATAAATAAATAAATAAATAAATAAATAAATAAATAAATAAATAAATAAATAAATAAATAAATAAATAAATAGATAGATAGATAGATAAATAAATAAATAAGTAAAATAATTATAAAAAAAATAAATAAATAAAATAAGTTAATGTTTACCACCACATTTTGGATAAGAAGAGGACTGGATTCGACTGGCGCGACTGGATCTGGAACCGAGACACATATTGCGCCTACGTAGTAGGCTTTACCGCTGGCTTGAAAATGAGGAGAAAGTCACAAAAAAATCCATCACAAGATGAGGCGAAGTAAACGTTTAGCGGCGAAAAAAGACGCAGCATTTTCCGAAACAGAGGGAAGTAGTCAAGAAGAACCTGCAGATATCACGAGTCCTGATACAGGAGACTTGGTTGCAAAACCTTACGATGACATTGCAACAGACGGGAGAGAAGAAATTGATGATGATGTCAGTAGTGAGAGAATTTGGATGAGTTCACAAGAAGAAGACGAGCCTGGAAGAGCAGAGGAATTTCTCAGTCTTCCAACTGAATTCAAAACCAAATTAAAGGAGTAAGTTGATTGTGAGATCTTTTAAATGGGTATAACAAAGTTTGCAAATTAAATTAAGATTGCTGTGTGATTTTCTAACTGCGAGGTAACCAAGCTTCATAGCCATGCTGGGAGAATGTCGTGGGTTGTAGCAAAGTACATGCAGGGAATTAGAACTGATCTTCCCTCAGTGTGGCTTAGCGCTAGAGTGATCGATAAGAGACTTAAATCATGATATTGTATGCGAAGGTGAATTAATCAACACGACACGAGCGTGGGACAAAGAAAAATTCTGAGTCCCCGACAGGAATCGAACCCATGACCTCCCGAACACCGGGCGGG